TGGCATTCCTTGGCATCTAACAATGGATAGCAATTGGCTAAAATGATAACGATAAGAGATTTTATCAGTTGTTTAAGGATTTTATTTACCAGTCTTAATTTTATCTGATCAAAACTTTTTTACAACTTGAATTAAAGCCTTATTAACTTCTCACAAAGCCGAACGAAAAGGTCAACGGTAACAAACAAGATACAGTTATTAATCGTTATCAAAAAACCGCTAGCCATTTGCACGTCGCACCCATTAGCTAGCCGGTGAAACAATAACAATAAACTGTATAAATTACTGGAACCCGTTATGTCATAATCGTAACGTCTACCTTTTTAAAAAACGTCAGAAATAGGCACATAGGTATGAAGAAATGCATCTGGATTTCATTACAAATTAGAATTGGAAACAGGTATTATTCAAATGTCAATTGCATTTACAATTAGTAGACAATTGCATCGTACTGGATCGCCTGGTGTCGTTAAATAGGGACAATAATGATTAACAGTTATCTTAGCCTAGATAATTGGGACGGGCTGTTAATCAGTATGGACATGAAAGTGCGCACACTACACCGATTTGCTATCGGCCGATTCTTCATACAAATTAAAATCGGGCCCAACTTTCGGCCAACTAAAAGTCGGTGGTCTGCGCCTAGGCTTAATTTACACTGAACTTGGTAAAATATAAATGTCACTGGTTCTGGGCACACGCTTTTTTCAACTCAAAATCTTCATTTCAGGAGGAGACTCGTAACTGTTCCATCCAGGATCAAGCTAATTATTGATCGTGCTATCGGATCCAAAAAGCAATCGATGATAAGAAGTTAGTCATGCAATAAAGAAGTAATTAGTGCCTATATTATTAAGCGAATAAACCACGAAGTTTTCTTTAACCATGATAAAATTTGCCGTTACTTGCGGACTTGCGGTTACATATTTTTACATCACCCGTTGCATAAAGGTTGGCGTCCATTAGTGAGTACATTATCGCTTCACTCCTAATTTTAGTTGCAATCAGCAATCCACTAACACTAACCTGACACTTGAATGTGAGAGCGAAACAATCGCGCATCGATTTCGCGCGTTGATGGACGGCAGCCCTAAGATAAGCTGACGAAACTGACGCGCATTTATCGATTCAAAATTGATTTAAGGCCTTATCTGCATCTAGATAAGAAGTCCGTTATTCATTATTGACAGGCAGTTATTTGTTGATGTGAATTCGATTAGTACACGGTACGTATGCTCAGATGCATAGAAACAATGATCATTATTTAGATGTTTCATTACGAAAGTGAAGGCCAGAATCATAAGCGCATACTTAAGTATCTACTTGCTACCATTTAAGTATCCTTGATATTTGTTTATGCATTCCTTTATACATGTGGGTGATTTATCTAAATGTATGTTCAACACTGTATAATTAAAATCTGAACATGAAATACTTTTACTGGCATTTAGACTCAAGCACAGATAACATAAAGTATTAAGACAAGTAACTTTAGTATCTCTTCTTAATTTCGAAACATCTAGGTGCGGCAAACAAACTGGTAGCTGAAATCACTTCAACATGATTCTCAGTTTCATCAGCGACATGTTTGAACTGAAATAAGCCGCAATTGATTGTCAGATTGGTAGATTTGTGCAATTAGAAGGGACTGTAACTCTGTTATCAACGATCCTAGTTATTTCCTGTGTCTGTGACATTGCAAAAGCCATTGTAGATGCCACTGGATTTACACCTTTAGTTGCCACCAAAAAAGTAATTACACAGCTCAACTATCCCTTCAACTACCCGCGAATCGAGATACAATAGAAATAAATTCAATTCAAGAAGCGAACCTTTTTAAATAAAATTATACAGGAGAGAAAATATCGACACGGTGCCTGAAGAATGGAAGATTTTTGTATACTTATCAAAGTTTTTGACTGTTTGTACGATGTTCGCCCCCTTTGCGGTGTTGGCGACAAATTTTTACCGCGGTCTCATTCGACCACTAAGGTTCCACGAGCTAACAGCCAAAATTAAAATAGCTTCTGCCTGCTTTGAAAGTGTAGACCGTATTCCTCATTCCCGATATATAGTCCAGTCAATGAATGCCTTAACGACGGTGTAGAGAGAAATCCGTGGAACACAATTTTCTGACCTCGGGACTTTATTTAGCCTAGTTAGGTGGTGAACATAGCAAAAGTCCCCGCCCTTAGTCCTTGAGCCGGCAGGGAGAGGGGGGTTTAAAGGTACCACTTTTCGGTTTTTCGCTTAATCCTCGGAAACTATGCGTCCTAGTGACATGACTACTATGAACCAAAAAAAGCTTATTCAATTTTCTACAGGCGAGACCGTCAAGTTTTTCTATATCTTGTATAGTTTTTGCGGCATCTGCTCTACAAGGTCTGTAAAATTGGAAATTTAATTTTTGTCTTACATGTTCCTATCAGGAGAAAATCGACCAAATCAACATTGAGCAAACACTATAGACATGCGGGAGCATGTTAAGCCTAGTTCCAGGGAGGGGACTGCAACGTGCGTATATTTATACGAACCAATTGGAGCCACTTTTGACTCCTCATCATTCAAAAACTACTGTGCATTAACTCTTCAAATTTGGCTCATGTATTGAGACTTGCAAGATATACATCAGCTTTAAATTTCATAAATATACCTCAAACGGTAATTTAGGTATTGACGTTCAAAAATTGACATTTAGAACACTAAAATCTATCTATCACCTGTGAAATGTTAAAATTTAATGGTTTTTTATTTGTTCCTATGTATTTACATAACTACCTTTCTGGATGCCAAATTTGAACCTTCGAGGTCATCTGGAAGTGGTTAGAATTTGGTATATAGGTCAGACATGTAGATTTTTGGACGTCAATACCTGAAGAACCGTTTGAGGCATATTTATGAAATTTGAAGCTGATGTATATCTTGCAAGTCTCAACACATGAGCCAAATTTGAAGTGTTAATGCACAGTAGTTTTTGAGTGATGAGGAGTCAATTGTGGCTCAAAGTGGTTCGTCTAAATATACGCACGGTGCAGTCCCCTCCCTGGAACTAGGCTTAACATGCTCCCGCATGTCTAGAATGATTGCTCAATGTTGATTTAATCGATTTTCTCCTGATGGGAACATGTAAGACAAAAATATAATTTCCAATATTACAGACTTTCTAGAGCAGATGCCGCGAAAACTATACAATTTATCAAAAAAGTTGACTATCTCACCTGTAGCAAATTGAATATGCTTTTTTTGGTTCATATTAGTCATGTCACTAGGACGCATAGTTTCCGAGGATTAAGCGAAAAACCGAAAAGTGGCACCTTTAAACCCCCCTCTCCCCGCCGGCTTAAGGGCTAAGGACGGGGACTTTTGCTATGTTCACCTCCTAACTAGTCTAAATAAAGTCCTGAAGTCAGAAATTGTGTTCTATAGTTTTCCATCTATAATGCTTTATTGACTGGACTAATATTTTTTCATACATTGAACCGAATAATTGATCTGAATCGCCGATAGTATTAATTGCGGCAAAAACCGGCGCGCGCGCAGAGAAATCACGCGCACGCTAGAGAAACTGTCGGGCTGCGGTTAGATTTAATTCTAGTAGAAAATATAATAAAATTACATGTGGTTTGCAATTTATACATAAATTATTGAAATTGAAAATGAATTCATTAATTTATTATAGATAATCTTTTATGTTTACTTCACAAACGGTAAATAGAAAATAAGTTCATAGATAAACAGCTCATTTTGAATCTCATTTACTAAAAGCATTTTATTATCTGCAACCAGTTTAATTGATTATTAAGTTAATTAACAGAAATTTTATAATAATATGATTTAGAGCCACATGATTTTCTAAGCGAATGTGACGACGGCCATGATAACGACATTGAATCTAAGATGCTTTTTTCACATTTAATCACATTCTGAAAATTTGATGCTTGTACCTAAATAATGAATAAACCTCGACAACAGATTACAAAATCGAAAATTGCCGTTCTCTTGGACATCACGTTAACATAATGTGCTTTGCAATTATCTTATAAATTATTTTTGTCTCGTATGTAAATTATATTTAAAAAATACATTACCATAAGTCATGAAAATATTCTTTACAAAAATCACCTTTGTGGGTGAAGGCTGCGCGTACGCATTAGAGACGATTAGCGCAGCGCTCGTTATGTCGCGGTCGTCATGCGATCCGTTCGGATTAGCGATTACTCGATAATTATCGTCTATTGTCTCCGATGATTGAGGTTGTTGACTGTTGATCTTGCTGATTGGTATGGCACGAAAGTTGCGCAAAATCACAATTAATAACATAGTTTTATTTTGACAGTGTCAAAACTGAAGCAATAGCAATACACACTTAGGAGGAGGGTTTCATCTGATGGCCATGAATCTAATTTTACGCATTGCTTAATGCATTAAAATCAGTTACAATTACTCGTATATGGTAAACATTATCTTTTAGACGTTTGTCATCTATTGAAAATAAAGAGTTTTTTTAAAACTTCACCTATTTAAATTAAAACAGTAAGACACGGGTCTTAACGCGACGTTTATTAATGAGTTACATTATGTACTCATAATGTTTAAAAACTTCACCTATTTAGTCAAAATCTGCAATATCAACCCTTTCTTCGTTTCAGGAGGCGTCCGGCGGACCACGACCCAGAGTAGCGTCAACGCGACAAGAGACTCACAGCTGCTGTCCGTGCTCGCTGCCAGAAGGAGACAGCTGCTCAGCGGCAGGCTGGCCACACACATCAACACTCTGGCCTCGTTGGCGCACAAGGCTAATAAGTAAGGACCATCTTTCTTTATTTTTCAGCAAAGATAAGCACCACATTACATAGTGTTCCCGACCCCCATGGTTATCTTTAACAACACGTGTCGATGACTGCTTATATTTGCCCCACAGCTTTGGTTAATTTTATTCTTGTTTTATAATGTGTATACCCTTCAAAATATAAACTTTCTTATTTTTTGTTTTCCAGAACCAACACCACGTTTGCCCAGTTAGAAATACGTGACGCTAATGGCTCTACAGTGAAGAAGATAACTCTAGACAACTCAAACAATGAACCAACCCCAACGCTGAAACTAATCACCACCGACGGTTCGAAGGAGATCCGACAAACGGTCAAACCGCACGAAATAAGGCATCTGTTTGTTCCCAAAGGATATCAAGAAAACAGAAACAGAGCCGGTTTTATGAACAATCGAAGAAAAGATTTACTTAATAATACCAAAACTACGCCAGTATCTGAATCAGTCACCGAAAATGGAGTAGTTTATGTACCACCGGAGAAACTAGAAGGACTTGACAAAGAAGTTGAGTTAGACCCTGAAGAAGAATTTCAAGTAGATGAATCTAATCACGGACTATATTTACTCAATTATTCAGATACTGAAAATGTTACTCAAAACATAAATCTCAACAAAACAACAAGTAGTAATGAAGTGAGTGACAATATAACCAATATAGTAACCACAACACCAATCAGCAGCCAACTAAAAGAAGTAACAACAGAAATTCAAAACGTCAGCACGGAAGAAAAACCAGAAACTAATACAATAGCAAATAGCACCGACGCGAAAAATACAAAACTTATAAAAGTTGAAAATGAAAAAGATAAAGAAAATCATACTTTGTTTATGTCTGATGAGATTTATAACCATTTTCGGCCTCTTGAATCTGAACTGCCTGCTGAAGACATGGCGCCATTCATTTTCTTTGGGCAAAAACTTGGTGGACAAATAATTAATGACAATTTAACAAATTCACCATCTCTATCAGCATCAACAAAGTCAGTGAATTTTATATTAGCTCCTACAGAAAAAAGAAAGTTCAACTCAAGGTACTCAGCTACAGAGAAATATAGGAATACCAGCGCGGACGAAGAAGAAATAAATGAAGATATGGATGTCTCTGTAGTAAAAAATATCATAGAGAAAAACAAAATTAGAAACACAGTCAAAGGTCCAGCACCAGCTAGACATGTAGGCTTGGTAAATGCTTATAAAAAATATTCAAGCACTACTCAAGCAACGACGAAGGCTCAAAATATAGCGCAACTAAATGTTACTGATCCTATAATACAAAATGTCACACCAAGTACCTTAGATAAAACAAAAGATAGTAATCGTACTAATAGCACAACTTTAGCTAAAGATGTAGTTAATAAAACAAATGTTACCCAATTATCAAAGGATATTAGTTTAAGTAACAAAACAACTACACCTGCTCCCAGAAATTTTACTAGAAATTACTACAATATAAGAAGGCGACCAGCTAGAGTGACGGCTTCATCAAGCACAGAAAATCCATTTGTAGCCGTGAACACTACTACTGAAAAAGCATCAACATCTGTCTACACTGCAGTTGTGACATCAGTATCGATCACGTCATCTATGAAAGGAAAAAATCTGACGGATTCATTAAATAAAGATGACAACAGCACGGTTGCCGAAAGTATTGAAACAAAAACGAACGTAACAACGCCTAAAGCTATTGTATTAAATGATACTGATACAACCACCCAATCGATTGCCACACAATCGCCTTCAACTACTACTACGACAGCTCCAACGACAACTACAGCTCGACCGCAAAGGCACAGAATCAGAATACGAACCACGACAACCGAAAGTTCTATCAATGCAAGTCCTAGTCCGAATCCGGTGACTTATAAACCACCAGATTTGCCTCAAGCAAGCGAACTATCGACTAGGAATACTGAATTGAAAAGAGAACCAACTAAACTGCCAGAGCGGTTAGCTAATTTATATCGACAAAACGCTTACGATAACTCGACTGGTACAGCGATAAGACCTAAGAATATTCTACGAAGACGACGACCTACGACTACGACTAGCACCTCTACGACCACATCGACCACGCCTATACCAATTTTGAGTTCAAGTGATACAACACCTTTACTTTCCTTACCACCTTCCACTTCCCCCATTCCACCAAGCACAATCCAAACTCAAGTTACAGAAACAATTGAAACTACATTCAAACCTTTTATTGTCACTTCCCGAACATCATCTGAATCTAAATCCAAACCAGTCCTTATTCCTAAAGACTTCACTACTTCTAACGAATCAACACCAACTGTAAATACAACTAAAGATGATGTTGATGAAGATCCAATTACGCAGAACGAGGAAGTGGTGATAGAAGCCGAGAAGACGTACACGGCTTCTTATGTGTTAGCTGGACTGGGTTTCCTTCCAGTGGCGGCTATAATTATATTTGTGTTAAGAAATGTATTGAATAAGAAGACCAAAGAACTAGACACGGAGTACGAAGGGTACTTCGACGACGGAGACATCAAGAAGGAGTCGCAGATCACTCCGGTGGCGCGGCCGCCGCTGCCGACGCCGACCATGCCTGACCAAAAGTGGGAGTTCCCTCGAAATAAGTTGAGGTTACAAACATTGCTGGGTCAAGGTAACTTCGGGCAGGTGAGTCAAATTTTATGATGATAATNTCAACGTGAAATTGTGAACTATGTCAGTTTATAATATAACGCGTTAGATTGTAAACTAACTGTGGGTTAGGTTATGTTAGATTGTAATTTAACTACGTCAGATTATAATCTGACGGAATTCACAATTTTACGGTGATTTTTAAGGTGTTTGTTATAGGTTTTTATGCGGTGCGTATCCCACGCACACTATAAAGTTTTTATGTGATAAACCGATATCCACGCGGGTGAAGCCGTAGGCAAAAGCTAGTGTAATAATAAAAAAATAACTACATAATTCACTTGAATTTTGAACATTAGAGAAATGAAAAATGTAACTTTACGAATTGTTATGTGTACAATTTCAAACCTTTACCCTCCTAAGGTGTGGAAAGCCGAAGCCGACGACCTGAGCGGGCACGACGGGCTGACGCGGCTGGTGGCCGTGAAGAGCATCAAGGAGACCGCCTCGCAGAAGGAGAAGCAGGAGCTGCTGCACGAAATCTACATCATGCAGAAGATCGGCACGCATCCGAACGTCGTCACGCTGCTGGCATGCTGCACTGAACAAGGTATTAATCAAGTGATTAATGTAGTAGTAGCCGTGTGATACCAGACTTCATTGGACCATCTGCACATTCCCTGTGGATATCCTAAAAGGTGACCGAATAAAGGAGATATTAGCAAACATCAAGCCACTTTTCTACTGGCCAACGTGATGTGTTAGTCAAATCCTGCAGTGGAGATTAAATGATCTGATGATGCACATAACTTATCTATTGAGACATACCTAGCACGTTACATAAAAAAGTGTATTAACTATAGTCTGGGCTGTGAGCACGTAGAATTTTAATTATGTTGCTGTCGCGCTCGCACACTCATTGCGGGCGCTCGTCGCACAGTCGCGACAGCAATATAATAACGCGCGAGCGATAAGGATGGGTAGCTTAGGGTCATTGGACAAAATTCTACGTGCTCACAGACCGGGCTTTATTTGTATCTGCTAAATTAGAGGGTCGTATTACTAAAGTAGAGAGACTAGCCCCCGGTTTGTAAATTGAGAATTTTGAAGTAGATGAGCATGCTCAAGATACAAATCCCAATTCAGAAGCATGGCCTAATTGACCTGATGACGATGATAACGTTTTATCCCCGATATTTGCTCTCATTCCAGAACCCTACCTCCTAATAATGGAGTACGTGATGTGCGGCAAGCTGCTGACGTATCTGCGCGAGCGCCGATCGCGGCCAGATCGCTTCAGCGGCAGCGGCGCGCTTACGTCGCGGGACCTCACAGTCTTCGCGTATTGTGTNATGATAATAATTATGAAGATTCCTTAATCCTATCGTATCGTACTAAAGCTATAAATGAACGTTTGTTAGTAGGATGGTTTTTATATCGGTTTTTAAATACAGATATGCAGGCTATCAAGTTTTTTTTTGTGATAAACCGAAATTCATGCTGGTGAAGCCGTAGGCAAAAGTTACTGAAATAATAAAAATGTAACTCGAATACTTACATTAGAGCAGTGTTTTTCAACCTGTGGGTCGCGAACCCCTGGGGGGTGGCGAAGCCTTTATAGGGGGGTCGTGAAGCCTCTATAGGAGGGTCGTGAGAGGTCGTAAAAACTACCTCAGTAAAAATAAAACATAAAGTTTTAAAGAAAGATTTATCCGAAATCTAATTATGCAAATTGTGTAGATTATGGACTGTGAAGTTTTCTCGGACCCTACAACATCTTTGTAACATTATAAAAAAAACATACACTTGAATTGAGAACCTCCTCTTTTTTGAAGTCGTTTAAAAATGCATGAAAAAAGTAAACGATCGCAAAACATTTTTTTATACTAGGGGGGTCGCGTCATGAAAAAGGTTGAAAAACACTGCATTAGAGAAATGAAAAATGTGAATGTAATATTGTAACTTAACGAAATTCAAACCTTACCCTTACCAAACCCTCCAAAGGTATGGAAGGCCGAAGCCGACGACCTGAGCGGGCACGACGGGCTGACGCGGCTGGTGGCCGTGAAGAGCATCAAGGAGACCGCCTCGCAGAAGGAGAAGCAGGAACTTCTGCACGAGATCTACATCATGCAGAAGATCGGCACGCATCCGAACGTCGTCACGCTACTGGCCTGCTGCACTGAACAAGGTATTAATCAAGTGATTAATGTAGTAGTAGCCGTGTGACTCCAGTCTTCATAGGACCATCTGCACATTTCCTGTGGGTATTCTAAAAGGTGACCGAATAAAGGAGATATTAGCAAACATCAAGCCACTTTTCTACTGGCCAACGTGATGTGTTAGTCAAATCCTGCAGTGGAGATTAAATGATCTGATGATGCACATAACTTATCCATTGAGATATAGTATACGTATACGTGCTAGGCACGTTACATAAAAAAGTGTATTATCTATAGTCTGGTCTGTGAGCATGTAGAATTTTAATTTTGTTGCTGTCGCGCTCGCACACTCATTGCGGGCGCTCGTCGCAGTCGCGACAGCAATATAATTACGCGCGAGCGATAAGGATGGGTAGCTTGGGGTCATTGGACAAAATTGTACGTGCTCACAGACCGGGCTTTATTTGTATCTGCTAAATTAGAGGGTCGTATTACTGAAGTAGAGAGACTAGCCCCCTGTTTCTGTATTGAGATTATTGAGCACGCTCAAGCTAAAAATCTGAATTCAAAAACCTAACTGACCTGATGACGATGATAACGTTTTATCCCCGATATTTGCTCTTATTCCAGAACCCTACCTCCTGATAATGGAGTACGTGATGTGCGGCAAGCTGCTGACGTATCTGCGCGAGCGCCGGTCGCGGCCCGACCGCTTTAGCGGCAGCGGCGCACTCACCTCGCGGGACCTTACTGTCTTCGCCTATTGTGTGGCGAGGGGCATGGACTACATCGCTTCTAAGGGGGTCAGTGGGATTTGCCTTTAAAACTTCCTTAATATTACATTATTTAATGTTCAGACGATTGAGGAAACTTTGCTAATTGGAGATTTCAGACCTACTTTGAAATTTACATTTTTTCAGATGGCATGGTCATGACCTGATGACCCCATGTTTTATTTTTAAGAACCAAAAAGACTTTCTAGATGGGAATAAAGTCCAAAGTATTTTAAACTTTGTTCAAAATACCGAAGACTCCGCTTGGAAAAAAGTCTTGAATCTGTCAGTAATAGAGGCTGAAATTATTCAACATCCTATACATTTTGTCGCGGGTTTTGGATTACAAAATTCCAGCGTACGGTTCATTTTATGCTTCTATGGGGATTTACTTCTAACCAATGACATACTATAAACACATCTTAGCTTCTAACCCTAAAAATATTTTCTTATTAACAAAACCATTTGCTGTAAAACTGAAACTCACTTCATTTCCTTCCAGATCGTCCACCGCGACTTAGCAGCGCGCAACGTATTGGTCGACCACAACAAGCTGTGCAAGATCGCCGACTTCGGCATGTCTCGGTGCGCCGGCGCCGCCGCGCGCGCCGCTCGCTCCGCGCTGCCTGTCAGGTGGATGGCGCCTGAAGCGTTACTGTATAACGTGTACAGCCATCATACTGATGTGTGGGCCTTCGGGATTCTTCTGTGGGAGATAGTTACGCTAGGTTAGTATACGAGTATTCCTAAACTAAGTAGCGCCCTGCCTGTGCGCTTGTTTAGCGCTGCCTATGAGATGGATGGCGTATAAAACACTGCTGTACAACGTGTACAGTCATCATACTGATGTGTGGGCGTTCGGGATTCTTTTGTGGGAGATTGTGACGCTAGGTCAGTATAAGATTATTCCTAAATTAAATAACATCCTGCCAGAGTGCTCGTTTAGCGCTGCCTATGAGATGGATGGCGTATAAAATACTGATGTATAACGTGTACAGCCATCATACTGATGTGTGGGCATTCGGGATTCTTCTGTGGGAAATAGTGACGCTAGGTTAGTATACGAATATTCTTTAATCAAATAGCGCCCTGCTAGCACGCTCGTTAAGCGTTGCCTGTCAGATGGATGGTGCCCAAGGCGTTACTGTATAACGTGTACAGCCATCATACTGATGTGTGGGCGTTCGGGATTCTTCTGTGGGAGATAGTTACGCTAGGTCAGTATAAGATTATTCCTAAATTAAATAACATCCTGCCAGCGTGCTCGTTTAATAATAATAATAAATACACTTTATTGCACACCAAAGATAAGAACAGAAAGAAGTTTAGCGCTGCCTATGAGATGGATGGCGTATAAAACACTCGTTCGGCGTTCGGGATTCTTCTGTGGGAGATAGTGACGCTAGGTTAGTATACGAGTATTCCTAAATTAAGTAGCGCCCTGCCTGTGTGCTTGTTTAGCGCTGCCAATTAGATGGATGGCGCCTGAGGCACTCCTGTATAACGTGTACAGCCATCATACTGATGTGTGGGCCTTCGGGATTCTTCTGTGGGAAATAGTGACGCTAGGTTAGTATACGAATATTCTTTAATCAAATAGCGCCCTGCTAGCACGCTCGTTAAGCGCTGCCTGTCAGATGGATGGCGCCTGAAGCGTTACTGTATAACGTGTACAGCCATCATACTGATGTGTGGGCATTCGGGATTCTTCTGTGGGAAATAGTTACGCTAGGTTAGTATGCCAATATTCTTTAATCAAATAGCGCCCTGCTAGCACGATCGTTTAGCGCTGCCTATGAGATGGATGGCGTATAAAACACTGTTGTACAACGTGTACAGCCATCATACTGATGTGTGGGCGTTCGGGATTCTTCTGTGGGAGATAGTGACGCTAGGTTAGTATACGAGTATTCCTAAATTAAGTAGCGCTCTGCTTGCGCCTCGTTTAGCGCTGCCTATGAGATGGATGGCGCCTGAGGCACTCCTGTATAACGTGTACAGCCATCATACTGATGTGTGGGCATTCGGGATTCTTCTGTGGGAAATAGTGACGCTAGGTTAGTATACGAATATTCTTTAATCAAATAGCGCCCTGCTAGCACGCTCGTTAAGCGCTGCCTGTCAGATGGATGGCGCCTGAAGCGTTACTGTATAACGTGTACAGCCATCATACTGATGTGTGGGCATTCGGGATTCTTCTGTGGGAAATAGTGACACTAGGTTAGTATACGAATATTCTTTAATCAAATAGCGCCCTGCTAGCACGCTCGTTAAGCGCTGCCTGTCAGATGGATGGCGCCTGAAGCACTGCTGTATAACGTGTACAGCCATCATACTGATGTGTGGGCCTTCGGGATTCTGCTGTGGGAGATAGTTACGCTAGGTCAGTATAAGATTATTCCTAAATTAAGTAGCCCCCTGCCTGTGTGCTTGTTTAGCGCTGCCTGTCAAATGGATGGCGCCTGAAGCACTGCTGTATAACGTGTACAGCCATCATACTGATGTGTGGGCCTTCGGGATTCTTCTGTGGGAAATAGTGACGCTAGGTTAGTATACGAGTATTCCTAAATTAAGTAGCGCCCTGCCTGTGCGCTTGTTAAGCGCTGCCTGTCAGATGGATGGCGCCTGAGGCGTTACTGTATAACGTGTACAGCCAGGATTACTAATGTTTGGCCAAAAAACGTTTCCCAAATTATCACATCGCAAACAACGTTTCGCAAATTTTCATTTGGCAAATTCTCATTTGGCAAAACAACTTATTGCAAACTTTTAATTCGCAAATGTCGTTTTTGGCATATTATTGTTTNTACATTATACGCCCAAAAATTAGAGTTTACTTGTTCTTTACTACCATGGTAACTATACTAAAAAATCCAATGGTATTTACATCCCAATTTTCACGATAAATTCTGTTTAGCTTATCAAATATGATGGGTCGTAAAGGCACTTTTTTTGGGAATTTCGACAAACTAAATATACAGATCGATAGAGAATTAAATTCTGAGTAAATTTGTATAAATAACTCATTTTCGGTATTTTGTCCTTTACGACCTTTGAGCCCAGAGGTATCGATATACATCTAATCTTTGCTTAACTAGCAGCCCATTCAGAACTTATTATGTGCTAAAACACCTGGGGTTTGTAAACCTGTGTCATGAATGAGCGAGCAGAGTTTATGACGTCTATAAAATTGTCACTTCAGACGACTTAGACCCAGAACAGACGGTGAGACGCAACTGCAACGAAACTGCAAATTTCTGATGATTGTTATGGATGAAACTGAAACTGAAAGTTTGAAACTGGTCGCGTCATGTGTGGTCTCTCAACGGACGCTATGGCAGAAACTTAGACGCAACTCAACTGTAACTAGGTAGGGCCTGAGGGAAAATATGCAAACATCAATTCATTGTATAAGATGACTAGCGGCCGCCCGCGACTTCGTACGCGTGAATCCCGTTTTTCCCGCTAATTCCCGTTCCCGTGGGAATTTCGGGAATTCCTTTCTTAGTGCACCTCTACGGTACCTAAGCTACGTCCCTTCCAAATTTCAAGTGCCTACGTTTAGCCGTTTAGGCTGTGCGTTGATCTGTCAGTCAGTCAGTCAGTTTCTCCTTTTATATATTTAGATGAACCGCTCTTCAAGAGAAGACCACACCCAACCGTCACCCTCTCTGATAGGCTGCTTTCACCACCGGAATGTCCTTTTCAATAAATATCCAGGCTTATTAACGTAAAAAGACGATTAGCGGACAAATAATTATTTGACAACAACAGGTCTCCCCAAACCGTATGGCTAGCGTCAAGAATATAGGCTATATCATCTACTCACTTCTGGTAAATTAGAGAGTTTCGTGCTTCTGCAGCGAAAACAATGATCTAATGATATTTCACAAATTAATTTCATATCATCCTTCCATTCCAGGGTCAACGCCCTACGCTGCCATGTCTGGCCGCGAGGTGCTAGCAGCAGTAACAGAGGGCTACCGTCTAGAGCGGCCTCCTCATTGCAAGCCACAGTTATACCGCGCCATGCATTCTTGCTGGCACGCCGACCCGTCCCAGCGACCCACCTTCGCTGCCCTCAAGGCACAGTTAGCAGAACTGCTGGATAATGAACCCTCTGAAGGAAATTACGTGGACCTGGACTCGTTCTACCAGGAGTCGTCGGTGTATAGCGACCCGTCGGCTATCATCAATGATGATGAGGGACTGTCGGCGGAGTATGATAGGGAGAGAAGGGTGTTTAGAGAGTGAGTATTGAGTTCTTTAGTACAGTCAAACATATTTTAAAAAATCCAATGAGCTGTAACGCGTTTGAACTGCAAGAGTAAGATTGAGTATGACTTGGGGTGAGCATGACGATTTGACGGTGCTGCAAAAAAATGCTGACTTCTGCAAAACAGCACAAGTTTGTTAGTAGTTTAGGACTAGATGCCGCAAAAATAAAATAACCCAGAATAAAAAAATTGAAAACAATATTATACCTACGAGTACTGAGGTTTAGAGGTAGCCTTTGAAATGTAGGCCACTTCAAGCTGGTAATTTATTGCGTCTCGTTTAACCTACAAAACAAACTAAAAGAATTCCCTTTTTACAGATTGACCAAAGGCCCAGCCAAGTTCGAGAACCGAGCGTTCAACTTCCGGGACGAGGAGCTCCGCAACAAATTCGGCATCGGGACACCGAGGATGGGCGGCTTCGGCATTCGGGACGTCCCGTTCAACGACCGAAACTTCTCCGACGGAGAATTCAACGAACGCACTTTCCCCGAAAATTTCAGTGACCCTAACTTCACAGAGAGAAAAGATGGGAAACTTTCCACCTCCAGTTTTCACAGAGAAAGGGAACGAGAAAACCCTTTAGTCAGTAGGAACAGTTTCAATGGCTTCCCGCGAATTGGGACGAGGGACAGCCATTTCCAAATGACTCCTGACGGTAGAAATAAGAGAGTGTCAGAATTTGAGTGCGACATTTAGTATGGTTGCTTTAATTGCGGTATTTAAAAGTTCGCCTGATGTGGTTTTTGAAAGAGTGACTACCAGCTGTACGTTTGCAGTTGGTGTGTTAGCTAAGAAAACCAGTTTGTTCAGAGATTTTATTGTTGAATGCCATGCGTTTATTGGGATAAAATTCTTTGATTTGATGTTGATTGGCGAACGATTGGTTGTGCTCTGTGACAAGTTTGGGTGTAGCCATATGACGCGTTGTGTTTCGGTGTGCCTAAGTTCAGCTGAGAAAAGACCAGCGATTTAGAGAACTGGGGAATTAACTTTAGTTAAAGGAAGAAAAAGCGCTTACTATGGGCCTCATAAGAAGGCTCAAGGTCACCCAAAGGGCGATGGAGCGGGCTATGCTCGGAGTTTCCCTGCGTGATCGAATCAGAAATGAGGAGTTCCGCAGGAGAACCAAAGTAACCGACATAGCTCGCAGAATTGCCAAAATCAAGTGGCAGTGGGCGGGGCACATAGCTCGTAGAGATGATGGCCGTTGGGGCAGAAAAGTTCTCGAGTGGCGAACACGGGCTGGAAGACGTAGCGTGGGCAGGTCTCCCACTAGGTGGACCGACGATCTGGTAAAGGTCGCGGGAAGAGCCTGGATGCGGGCAGCGCAGGACCGTTCATTGTGGAAAACCTTGGGGGAGGCCTTTGTCCAGCAGTGGACGTCATTTGGCTGAAAAAAGAAAAAAAAAAGGAAGAAGCAGGCTTCTGGGTGTATCCCTAGAAAACTGCGCCACACCGCACCGCGTCGCGTGGCCGCACCGTTAGATTTATCTTCCCAAAACACAAGCACTGGTGTAGAGTTGATTATTTTCTCACGTTCTGGCGGCACCGTGTGACATGACAGTTAGGCTTTAAGTTTCAATTTCAATCGAATTGAAATTCTGTAACTTACAAGTTAGTGTTGATATTTTTGTACATATTTTGTTAATTTATAACAGTATTTGAGTTTCATGTTATCGCACAGATGTATTGTAAATAATGTAGGTAATGAAAGAACTGTTTAAATGTATATATTGAGGAACTGTTTACGTATGAATAGTTTATGTAAAAGAAAGTTATTTACATGTTGAATGCAAGTTATACTACATATTTTATATACTAATTGCCTTTCGTTTTGCCTCACTAAACACATTTGTTACAAAACCAAAAGGCGTAATACACCTATACCTAAAATATATGGTCTGGCACATCAAAGTAAATATTGGGCACCTTATTTAGTTGTGATAGGTGTGGTTTTGCAATAAAAATGTTAACTTTGATGTGCTGACGGCTGTACTTATTTTTTGTATTTTTATGGAGGGATCGTAATGGTGCTATATTCTATGAAATAGTGTTATTGTAAATATCAAAGTTTAATTTCAATTTTCACGTCCATATTTTTTCTTAGCCTTTGTGTCTCAGTTCAATATTACTTTCTAGTCTTTAAAATGTAGGATATAATTGGATTTTGTAAGACCTGATTTAGTTATAAGTGTAAAAGATCTATTTTATTATAAATATAGTGATTTCTTAAAAATTATACTTGTGTATTATTAAATCCTTATCGCGTTGATGTCAATTATTATTTACGTCCCAAATAAACTTGATAAACTTGCATACAAATAAATGATTTCATTTGATTTGATTGCATTGGATACCTTCAATCCGTAGGAAGAAAATGGTCTTATCACTAACAACTATTATTTAAATAAATAGATATCATTTACATTTATTTGACAAAACCTCAAGTGCCTGTAAGTAAGTAGACAGCGGGAGTTGTTAGTTAAAAAAATCGGATTGTCACTCGATCTTTGGGGGACTTAAGGACAAGAGTGGTCCACGTTGGCTAATATAATCAAGGACATATTCACGCATTCTAGTAACTCAGTACTAAGTAATGCCTAAACTACCGTAACATTACATAAGATTAAAATCACAAAAAATATGTGAAATAGTTACTGTTAGTCAATGTAAAAATTACATAATTCTGAAACTAACCGCCACAGCAAAAGCCGTGGAAGAATGCAGTAACTGCGAAACGAGAATTTAATAATTTCTTAACTAACGTCAAATAATAAATCAAAATTCCTGTTCATCTTGTTACTCAATTCAATTTCAGTTTCCCAACATGGTCTGTGACTCTTATTTATGAAGTCGTAAGATTGAATTTACAATGATTTTCTTAAACTACAGAAGCTGCTGATTGTCAGTAAGTAGGAAATCGTTTTGATATTAAAGGCCTGCGGTTTGACGATATGACAGTTACTTTCTTTGTGATTGAAGCATTGTGCGCTGCGACGCCATTACTGATACAGGGTGTTCATTTAATGTTTCGATTTTGCAATTATGTATTCGTCATGAAAATATGGGATGTTGCGTCAAGAAATATAATATAATTACGTAAGTATTGAACAAGCATTACGTAGATCAATAATACCTACTATTGTATTTTTATTTTTTCTACTACTTACTACAAGTTCGTTGGAATGATTTTGAATCAAAAAAATAATTGAATTAGCTAGTTGTATAGGTATTTAGGAAGTGACCCGCCTGCATAGACGACTGGACATCATGATAAACACAGTATCTTACACAGTTGCAATAAGTGCTATTTTGCGACAAAAACTGCCTGCAATTGTTCATTTCACCCTTCAAATAAGTATTAAAGAATAGAATTAAAAATTATATGCTATGAAGTACTCTGGAAGTTCTAGAACACACTGCGACTACCAACCATAGGCATCATCTGGCGACAGTAAAAATTCAAATCGAAAGCAAACGCCCTGTATAGTGAAGATAGCAAACAAATCTTCTTGGGATTATTGCGCGGTCTGGCTGCGCAGGAGCTGCGGTCGCAATGAAAGTGTTGCACCATAGCGCATCGTTTGGGACGTATAGCGGTTATTGTTACATTGTTATGCCTAGAGGCATATTCGTAGAATGGGTTTGTTTTCGTTCCAGCCGAAGACGTCCACTGCTAGACAAAGGCCTCCCCCAAGGATTTCCACAAAGACCGGTACTGCACCGCTCGCATCCAGGCACATCCCAAGAGCTTTACCAGATTGTTGGTCCACCTAGTGGGAGGCCTGCCCACGCTACGTCTTCCGGCTCGTGGTCGCCACTCAAGAACTTTCCTACCCCGTAGAATGGGTAAAAGTATGCTACTTTTTAGGTTCAGTAAATTCGGAAAATAATAGGTGATTACGCATGCCAGAAAACCTGGCGTTGTTGGGGGCTCTTAGCACATCAAAACGTGAGTGAATTTAGAAAATATCGTTTCTCAATTAAACCCGTTGGAGAGTGAATATCGATTGTTTGGAAGAATGGGAGCTTTCACGCCATAGTTCAGTGCGACATGTTGATATGCAAGTGCGATATCAAATGTCTAGGTCTGGAGGTCCTGCCAAGGAAAGTTATGGGCACAGTTAATCTTAAATTGTATTTTGATTATAAAAAACAATCCAATGATATAGTACGTATAAGTACTTATATGCTCTACATTCAGTTGTTCACTTGTTCAGTACCTACTTAGTCATAGATGATAGTTTTTACTTTTTCATATGTGATGATCAGTGTGACGAACTAATTGATGTATCATGAAATCTGCATCATGCTAAATAGGCAGTATAGTCCGCATCATAAAATAGGTGGTAATAACAAGAAAGTTTAGAACTAAATAACACGTTTGTATACAATTTTAGTCGTTTCTGAATATGTAATTGGTATAACGACAATACTTTCAATAGCTACGAGTAACAATTAATACTAGTTCAGAGCCAGTGGTATAAATCTATGACTTTATGGCGCTAGAGCGGCAAAAAGTTACGAGCACTAATTGATAGGAAAGCGTGATACCATGTGTAAGTCACACGGAAGTTCTCATGGTACTGTATGTATTGTAGTATGTGATTTCTTGGAAAGCATGCAACTGTAATATTATCAAAGTATTGTTGCTTGATAAAAAAAAGTTATAAAATTGGTGGACTCACTTTTTTATAGAGTTTTAAAACAATCAGTCGAATTGTGAGACTACAAGTAGAGCAAAATAATAGTAGATAAAAATACTCTTACAGTGTGTCTTTGGAATAATTAGCGATTCGATTTTTGTTATTACATAATATCTCAACTCAAATCTATACTAATGCGAAATTAACTCTGTCTGCTTTCACGCCTAAACCACTGAACCGATTTTGATTAAATTTGGCATAGAGATAGTTTGAGTCCTGGGAAAGGACATAGGATAGTTTTTATCCCGATTTTTGAAACAGGACGCGCGCGATAAAGTTTTTCTGTGACAGACAAAATTCCACGCGGGCGAAGCCGCGGGCGGAGAGCTAGGTAGTCATTAATTTAGAAAACCCAGAACCAAACTAAGACTATTGAGACGAGACGTGTTTATAAGTTACAGAATTGTAACCATTTCTTTGTTAATAAATCTAATTAATTTTATTACATGTTTGAGTGTACACTTGTATAGATTGCAACGAGAAGAACCATTATCGTCGATTGTACGGTGTCCACGGTCTGATTGACTCGTAATGTTCTAAAGAATCATTAAACCTTCGGCCGAACCAACGCGTTCAGCTCGCGCCAGCGATTTCAATGGCGATCACTGCTCGGCGACACCAATAATAACAGAACGTGTTGATATGTGAACTCATCGCTAATTCATACACGACATCTGATCGTCATTGCGCACGCAGGCTGCACGCGTTGGTTTGGCCAAACCTTAAGAAATACACACGATTACGATTGAAGCAATTTCTCGTGGGAGATGTCCAGTGTCAATACCAGTAATAGGATCACAACATTTTATTTATTTACTAATGAAGAAAACCAACGGTGTAACAAAGAGAAATTTAGCAGTTAGTAAAGTTAATTTAATAGGTTATTCTTTAATAGAACAGTATTCTTTAACTCAAATAAGCAGACATATTTTTAAAGATAAACTAAACTCATTAAAATTAAAATAACTTTTAATTAGCTAAGAGCCCAATAATTACATTCAAAGTTATACAACAGAAACAAGTAATGTTAAAATATTTTTATTTGCATTATACATTAATCTTCATTTCTACATATTTATACAGTTTTAACATATTCCTCAATTTGCCTCTGGTAAATTAGAAAGGGTCATGCTCCTACAATGGAGACTGCATGACTTGATGAATATGTACTGTTAATTATGAAAAATCTAAAACGTTAAAATAACGGTATAGTTGTGGCCAATGAGTTGCTGTCATAGTGACATTGACAATACGTCAATGTCACGCTAGCATCAAACGTCAGAATAGAGGGACGCGCGGAGACGACTCCGCGCGCTTTTGTGCTAAGTGATGAAATGTATCTAAAATAAGGCAATATAATGTGAAAGATGAGTATCCAGTGTTTTATTTATGAGAAT